GGGCCCTCATTCCTGTAACTGCTGTCCCCTGAAGGCAGCTGAGCTGGGGGCCGTGTCACACTTCCAGCATGATACTCTAATTGGTGTGAGGCCTTAACCCAGGATGTTCTCTCATCCTTCCAGACCAAGTTTGCACAGCAGCTCCTCTAAAAGTCTCTCTGTGTCCCTAACTCCCACTCTGAAGCAATCTTCCTCCTTTCTCTTCCTCTGACTCCTAGTCTCAACCCCGCACAATACTTTTCATATTCTGTCTTTTACTCTGCTTAGCTGCAAACACACACACCATAGTCTGACAACTTCTAACTCATCTCTTTTTCTAGTTTCACACCATCTCTCCACGGTGAGCAAAATAATGGTCTCCCAAAGATGTCCAGGTTCTAATTCCTAGGCCCTGTGAAAGTAATATTACATGGCAAAAAACAACCTAGGTAGCAGGTGGAATTCAGTTTGCTTATCAGTTCACCTTTTCTGAAATTTTCAGCCTAATAAGTGAGGTTCTTAATGTGAAAAAGGAAAGCAGACAAGTTAGAGGCATGTAATGTGCAAATAACCCTACTGACAATCACTGGCTTAAAAAGAGAAGGGGGCCACGCGCCAAGGAATAAGAGCAATTCCTAGATGCAAAAGAAGGCAAAGACTAGCTTCTCTCTGGAGGCTCCAAAAAGAATTAGCACTTCTGGGCCTCCCCGGAGGCACAGCGGTTGAGCGCTGGGTTGCGAAGCTGCCCGCAGCCTCTGCAGCGCCCGTTCGATCCCCGGCTGCTCCCAGGCCACCAGAGGAGGGTCCCACATGGTGCGCAGACCTCTCCTGCTGCCCGCTGCTCCCCTCAGCAGTGTCCTTCGGTCCTTCTGCCTGTTCTGCTCCCCGCTCTGGCTCTGGTGAATTCTCTCACCCTCCCGCGCTTCTGACTGTGCCCAGTGCTTGTATAAATAAATAAATAAATAAATCTAAATATATATATATATATATATATATATATATACTGTTATATCTCTTTAAAAGAAAAAAAGAATTAGCACTTCTACCAAAACGATATTAGCCCAGGGAAACCCATTTTGGCCTTCTATCTTCCAGAACTCTAAGAAAAATAATTTGTATTGTTTTGAGTCACTGGAAAGAAACAGGACCCCGGCACACCTTCTTTTCATACAATAGGTAGTCAAGATAAGCCTAAAGATGCTGAACCCCACATCTTCTTTCCCTTTCCCTGGGTTCTAGAATCACACAAGGGAAAAAACGCACTGTCCCTCAACCGCCCTGAGTCACCCAGGTACACAAATAGACTCCCAAAGAGAAACCAGCTTGTAATGGAGACAGCAGCAAGAAATAGGAAGAGTGCGCGGGCTTTGATGTCAGAAGCTAGACCTTTTCACATTCAAAGGACACTCCACAAGAGTGTCCTATCAACAGCTATTTCAGCAGAAACCATGCAGGTCAGATAAAGTGGGATAAAATATTCAGAGTACCACAAGAACAAGATCGCCAACCAACAATACTACACTCAGCAACCTGTCCTTCAAGAAACAATGACGTAACACTTTCCCAGGCAAACAAAAGTTAAGGTAGTTTATCACCACGAGAACTGCCTACAAGAAATACAAAAGGGAGTTCTACAAGTTGAAACAAAGGGAAACTAAAGTGTTCGTAATGGTATAAGAAGGATGAAACTTGTTGGTGAAGACAAACACAGAACAGTGCACTACTGTAACAGTGGTAAGTCATTTTAAATGCTGTTATAAAAGGTAAAGGCAAATGTATTAAAAATAACCATAACTAAAAAATATGCCAAAAGGAAAACATGAATAAAAATTCTAACAATGATAATAAAAAGCATGGACACAAGAAAGCTAAAGTGTAGTGTATTTATATGCAATTAAACTTGAGTTGTTTTCAGTTTTAAATAGAATACTATAATGATATAAGCTTTTATGAAGATTCCAGGGTAACCACACACAAAAAACCTATAGACGTAGGTAAAGTAAAGGGGATAGGAATTAGGACATATCAATTTGCAAAATCAACAAAACACAAAGAAAGATAGCAAGAAACAAAAAGAATCTGAAGGGCTAACAAAACAGCAATAGTAAGTGTTTCCATATCAATAATTACTTAACTGAAAATGGATTAAACTCCCAATCAAAACAAAAAAAAGTGACTGAATGAATTTTTTAGAAGGTCCAATTATATGCTCTTTGCAACAAACTCAATGTTTAATAATATGCAAAAAGTGAAAGGATTGGAAAATATAATTCACACAGATGGTGATCAAAAAACAAACAACAACTACCAAAAAAACCAGGAATGGCTGCACTTATATCAGACAAAATAAAATTTGAGTCAAAAGCTGTCAAAAGAGATTAAAAACAGACATCAAATAATGACAAAACAATCAATCTAGTAGGAAGAAGTAATAGTTATAAATATGTGTGCCCAACATCTGAGCACCTAAATATATAAAGCAAACATTGACAAAATTAAGGGAAAAATTGACATCAATACTATATTAGTAGGAGGCGTCAATACTTCAATTTCAATAATGAATAGAACATTCAAACAGAAGAGCAATAAGAAAAAAGAACTTAAATGGACCTAACAGACATATACTAAACATTCTTTACCAAACATTATTCTCAAGTGCACACTGGTCTTTCTCCAGGATAGAACACATGTTAGGTCAGGAAACTAGCCCTAACAAATTTAAGAAATAACAATCACACTAAGCATCTTTCCTGCCAACAATGGAACACTAGAAACAGCAGAAGGAAAACTGGAAATTTCACAAATATGTGGAAATCGAACAACACATTATCGAGCAATCCTTAGGTCGAAGAAGGAATGAAAAAGGAAATTAAAAAGTACCTTGAGACAAATAAGAATGACAACACAATTTATTCTGAAATGTATGGAATACAGCAAAAGTGTTATTGAAAGTGAAGTCAAAGTGATGAATGTCTACACTAAAAAGGAAAAAACACTTCAAATAAAAAGCTAATTTTACACCGCAAGGAGCTAGAAAAAGAATAAACTAAACCCAAAGTTGTGAAATAAAAAAAAAAATAGGAAAAAAGATAAATGAAACTAGAGTTAGTCCTTTTAAAAGACAAACAAAATGAACAATTCATTAGCTAAACTAAGCAAAAGAGAGAGCAGACGCAAATGAAATCATAAATTAGAAAAGAAACACTACAACGATGACCTAGAAATTATACTTGTGGATACACATATATACGAGACTACCACGAACTAACAAGTGGATAGTGTAGAAGAAATGGATAATTTCCTGGAAACATACAACCAGCCAAGACTAAATTTAAGGAAACAAAGTCTCAACAGTCTATAACCAGCATGAATTGATTCGTTAATCGAAAACCTCTGAACAAAGAAAAGTCCAGAACCAAATGCTTCACCGGTCAATTTATAAACACGAATATGGAGCAAAAATCCTCAACAAGTGAGGTTTCATAGACGAACAGGAACAGGGTAAGGCGAAGAAGGGTAAGTCTTTGAACCGAAACCCTGCGAGTTGAAATCTCAGCTCTGCCACTTGGGAGCCGGCAAGTTCCTGATTTCCTCAGCTTCGATTTCATCTTCTCTAAAGTGGGAAAAAGACACACTTAGCTCCGGGATCACTGCTGCCCTCCGAGGAGCTCCCCGCGCAACGTGCCTGGCTCCTCGCTCCACAAATGTCAGTTCTCTCCCTCTGCACAACGACCCGCATCCCGGAGGTCAGTCTCAGCTGCCAGCAGAGCGAAGACGGGCTCCTACTTCTCCGCCCACCGGTGGCCCAGGTCCTTCCGTGCCAGCGCAGCAAGCACCTGGGCTCACACGCCCGCATCTCAGGGAAATCTCGGGGTGACCGCCCTGGGGCTGACAGCGGATGAAAGGGCTCCTCAAATTCAAAGTGAAGATCTGAAAACACAGCCGCCCTCCGGGCCAGGCGGGGTCAGCCCTGCCGGCTAACTGAGCAGGATGCGTGCTGCCCGGTGGGACCGTTTTATCTTTGTTGTCAGAATGCCATCTGGCGTGGAGGGGACCTGGAGACCAATTCCCCAGGATGATGTGGCCGCTCCCGACGGCGGGTCTGCAGAGCTGCTGGCCGCCCGCTGGCTCCTCGCTCCGCACACGGCAGGAGGACGGTGCTGACCATTGTTCCCGACAAAAGCAAGGCAGGTCCCCTCGAGCCCTCATCCCAGCGGCCTGGAAATGCTAGAAAGATCTGGGTGTAAGCACAGATCCCAGGGTTGCGTTTCCTTAGGCATATTCCTAAGGCGAATTAAATATTTTTTTTACTATGTTACAGCCCACGTGAAAAATATTACCCTCGTAGAAAATACAAACGAGTAGGAAGAAGACACCCCCATCGAGTAGGAAGAAGACACCCCCGTCGAGTAGGAAGAAGACACCCCCGTCGAACGGCTGGGACCAGTCTCAGGCACCGTTTCTTCCAGCTCAGATCTGCAATCTGCCTGTTCACGGAAATCTCCAACGTCTCTCATCAGAATCACCAACACACACACCTTGGAATGATCGCCAGCACTGTCACATCAGGTCCCCTAAAGACGCAGCCACCCTGTGGAGACTGGACCCGGCTGCCGTCACACAATCAAGGGGTGCCTCACCAACGTGTACCCCAAACCAAGTACAGGCCTGGAACAACTGCAGCATTTTAATGACAAACCCTCCTCTATGCTGAGAATGTAATTTCTGCCAACCTCCTAAAGCCGCTTCACCTGAAGCGCAGCATTCAGTCACACCCAAACCCCCAGCTTGGCCTCTGGGGTCGGCATGGCTTGCTTCCAGGGTCGCCCACCTGTCTGGACCCAGCCACACCACCCGCACCTCACCCGGGAAGGCGTCCTCAGGTCCTCTGGCCACACGCCCGCAAGTGTCCTCTCCTAGGAAATGCCCCTTACCCTCTGGCCAAGCCCTCCCGTCCCCCGCGAAGCTTGTCACCGCCCATGGAGAACCCACCCTCAAGTCCCACCTGAGGTCAGCCTCACCTGCCCAGCCCTGGCACCGGCTCTCGGCTCCTGCTGCCCCGGCAGGGACTGGCAGCGAGTGGGTGGGAGTGGAGGCAGCGCAGGCTGGATGAACGAGGTAACGGCAGGACTTGCCCTGCGACGCTGGCCAAGGTGACTGGGAAATAATTGGGGGGAAATAAATGTATGGTTTTTGCTGATCTTTTTACTTTTGTTTTTTGTCCTGACTATTACTGAGGATCCTCTAGGAAGACTGAACTCGTAGGACAGGCCCGTATCCCCACCTGTGTCCACGCCGGTGCCTGCATCTACCTGGATTTATCTACGTAACTGGCTCTAGGTTCCGGCTCCTGTAGTGGTGGAGGCTGAGACGTCGCATCTGCCATCTGAGAGTCGGAGACCCAGGGAGGCCAGGGTGTCGCTGGAGGACCTGAGAGCCACCGAATAACAAAGATTCTCGTCCCTCCAGAACTGGAGCCCCGAGGGCAAGAGAAGATGGAGGCCTCTGCTGAAGGAGTCAGGCAGAGAAGGTGAGTCGGCCCTTCCTCCACCCTTCGGTCCTATCAAGCCCTCAGTGGGGAGGGCGGGTGCTTAACCCAGGCGAGGACTCACTCAGGTGCTGATCTTTTATGGAAATGCCCTCACGGACACATCCGGGAATAAACGTTTAAGCAGCGATCCCATGCCCCAGTCAAGTGGACTACTTGTTTTTTTAATAATATTTTAGTTGAGATATAATCCGCATAAGGAAATCACTATTTTAAGGTGTAAAATGCAGGAGTTTACAATTATAAAATTTACACGCAATGTTGTGCAGCCATAATTCTATGTTATTCCAGAAATTTTCATCGCCTTAGCAAGCAGCCCTGGGCCTGTCAGCAGTCACTCCCAACACCCCTTCCCCATCGGGGGTTCTTTGCATGAAGTCGGGGCTGCTCGGGTGCCGCCCAGCAGCGAGCTATTGCTTCCAAAGCTGTTTTTTTTTTTCTTTTTTTTTTTTTTTTTTAAGATTTACAAGCACTGGGTACAGTCAGAAGCGCGGGAGGGTGAGAGAATTCACCAGAGCCAGAGCGGGGAGCAGAGCAGGCAGAAGGACCGAAGTACACTGCTGAGGGGAGCAGCGGGCGGCAGGAGAGGTCTGCGCGCCATGCGGGACCCTCCTCCGGTGGCCGGGGAGCAGCCGGGGATCGAACCGGCGCTGCAGAGGCTGCGGGCACCTTCGCAACCCAGCGTTCAACCGCTGCGCCACCAGGGAGGTCCCCAAGGCTGTTTCTGAGACAGGAAATGGGTAAAGTTAAAACCCCCTAGAAGTGCTGTCTTATCAAGATTCAGTTATTTTTCTAGAAAAAGTGCTCCTTAGGCTTTCGTGCCTTTGGCTGATTTCCAGATTTTGAAAAGGGCTGGTTCTGAGTCTTTGCCAGCTTTTCAGAATCTCAGAATTCCTTACTTGGCCATTTTCACTAATGTCCTGCTGACATTTGATTTGAGTGAAGATGTGCTTGCATTTCAGTGTGTGCCTCAGAATTATCAGAGCTGTTTCTGAGGCGCTTCTCTAAAACACTGGTCCCAAGAGCAAACATCTGATCCTGTATTCTCTGGTGAAACTAGTTTAGGACACGCTGCTTACGTAAAATTAAACAGGTTTCCTTCGTGCAAGATTTCTGAGTCCACAATATGCCATTCCAAAGATGCCACACGTCTTCAAGGGGAGGATTTACTGTAGACATAAAAACAGCAGGTATTTTGTGGGCCAGATTCTTCTATTTACTATCCCGTTTGACTTATACCACCACCTCGTATTATTATCATTTTATAGGCCAGGAAACTAAGGTATAAGAAGTCTAAATAAATTATTGCAGAGTTGGGAATTTAATCAGTTTAAGCCTGCCTCCTAAGCCGACACACATTACTGCAGGATTTCCCCAACTAATTTGACCACAGACACATTTGTTCACAGAGCATCTTGGAGAACTAATCTAGCTCAAACTACATTCCGTAAAATGCTGAGCTGAAACACAATTTAATAAGTGAGAAACGATTTGTGCTTTTCTCGACACTTTTGTGGTTATAAATCACACCTCAGACCCTTGTTGCAACATTAAATATTGATTGTAGAAGGGAACATGGAGCCCTTCAGCCTATAGATTATCAATACGCAGGAGCATCTCACTATCTATCTCTCAACGGTAGGCATTAACAGCTACCTAAACCCAGAGACCAAATGGACAGAAAGCCCAGAAGATTCTGACCTCAGGCAGGGCTTACCAACACGATTTTAATTTATGAAACTGTAAAGAACTAAATGAGCTGATCCCATCTCAAAGATGTGTTTTCCTCACAAGTTATTTTTTTCTAACGAGGAAAGTAATTTGTTCTCAACATAGGAAAATTTGAAAAGAAAGCAAAACTATGTAAAGGAACAGGGAAAAAAACCTTAATTCCTTCTACTCAGAGCTAATTTCTGTCAGCACAGCTCCTTTTTAGCATTTTGAGTATCTTATTTTCTTTTCATCCTTGGAATCTTGCCATGAATATAATTTTTATTATCATAACTATTTTTCATTCCATTAAAATTCTCCATAAACATCATTTTTGCATGCTTTCAAACATTCTGCCCCTGGAAGTGTTACAGTTTACCGAATCCTTCCACTCATGTTGACCGTTGGGGTTGCTGACCTTCTCTCACTGCTGGAAATAATCGTGATAAACATCTCAGGATGACAGACAGGACACCGGTGTCTGCCTTACTCCGGGAGGTGGTCCAGGCAGCAGGCTCGCCGGGACGCCCGCTGTCGAGGCTCAGGCAAGCCCCCTCCAGCCTCAGTGATGGGCAAATGGGAAATACGTGACCCAAGGAGAGACTCGAGGAAAGAACCCACAAATCCACCAAAGACAATCACATCTAAAATATAAAACACCCAATAAAACCAGAAGGTTTTAAAAAGAGAGGTTGAATCATGTAGTTTCATAAGTGAACGGTAAATCAGTAGGATTTGATTTTAAAATTATCAGTATCTACTAATAAGCTGTTAGTCTATGCCTACCTGCACAATCACACTTCAAGCTCTATACTACACTCGAAAAGTATAAGGATCTACAATTTGTCAAACTTAAGATTTCCCTTGGCAGGTCCTGGAGATGTGAAAATCCAGCTTCAGTGAACTGTTCAAAGTATATTTGGAAATCTATTTCTAAGGACTAGGACTGTATTATTCAATACGGTCGTGTGGGGCGCATTTACTGAGTGTGCTCAGTCTCCACGCGAGGGACTCTGCGTAAAACAGCAGATGTGATGTCACAATGCAGCTAGGATGACGTGAGGCTGACTAATGCTGGAAAGAAGGCTCAGGAGTTTAGTCGAGGCCCAGGGTTTTCCCGCAGATGTGATAAGACAAAGATGAAAACACATCTCAGCTGGAGCCTGTGACTCTCCAAAAACCAAGTGACTTTTCTTCAACAAACCCCACAGAAAGGTAAGAAAACACCTCAAAACCATTTGAAGCAAACAATACAGATTCCTAAGTGTATTTTGAACAATTAACGGAAGCTAAATTTTAGCCAGCTCCCAGGCCCTCTCCAAGGAAAATCTTAAAGTTATTTAAGATTCTTAGACCCTCAAACTATTCACAAATTTTTTTATTTTGGAAAATCGAGTGGATGAAAATGAGAGAAAGGGCTATGCACTAGGATGTTCATCACAGTATTATTTACCATAGCAAATAAAGTGGAAATAATTCTGAGAGCCAGTGATAGAAACTACATAAAACAGAGTAAGTTCATTCAATGTAAGATCTTGCAATCACTAAAAAATATATATGGAAAATGTTATCAGTCAATAGAACATCCGTCATAACAGAAAGCAGGAAAGTTGTGCTGCACGATGATAAATTAATGATTAAAAAAAAAAAACCCGAAGCACAGAGATGAACACTCACATGGGGAATAAAGCGGATTGGCCCCACAGTGGTGACTTCTGAACTGTTCTCAAAATTTTTATCATGAACATGTATTATTTTGGGGGCACAAAAAATGTTAATGAGGATCCCAAGGAAGCAAAGTAAAAGGACGACAGTGTCCTGGGCACTGTCCAGACAAGATGAAATGCCAGGAGGTTTAAGTAAGAAGGCCAGAGAACTCCTCGCTGAGAAAACGACATTTCAGAAAAGACCTAAAAGGAAGAAAGGAGGCCAATCACGCCAGCAGACAGACCAGCAAGTGCAAAGGCCCTGAGGCCGTCCTGGAATGTTCAAATAGCAAGAAAGTGAATGTGGCAGGATGGGCACTAAGGATAAAGGTCCTGGGGGAGGTATGGTGGCCTATTCAAAGGCCCTTGGGAGGCCATGGGAGAGGAGAGGGCGGCATGTGCAAGGGGACAGAGTCTGATCGGAAGGCGCTGGTGGAATCTGAAGCTCTAACTCTCACTGACCGCAGTGGGGAGCCACCAGGGGCTCCTCGGGCTGGCGTAACGTTACCTGGGTCACAGTGTAAGGTATGCTTGGGCTGCTGTGCTCAGGTCTGGCTGGGGCGAACAGTCAGAGAAGAAAGGGCAGGTCTGGGCTAGCTGGGCACAGTGGGGTGCTGCAGCCTGGATGAGGCAGAAGGCGTGGCAAGAAACAGAAGCACCCGACAGAAGGAGGATACCCAAGTTTTGACCATTGTTAGAGAGATAATGACAAATACTGGGTGATTAACCAATACGTGCAATATGAATTGACAAAACAAAAGTAAACACTGGGCACCGGGAAGGGGACTGAGATGACCAGAGGGACACTGGGGTGGGCACAGGGTGGAAGGTGAATAATGGATGGTGGTGGATGTTTTGATTTGTTTTGTCTGTTTTCCTGTGTCCTTTCCTTTCTCTGTGTTTTCTTAAAAACAAACAAACAAACAAAAAAAACCTTGACGTAAGCATCGTGAAATACACAGCGTGGGGGAAGCGCAAGAGAAGGGCAGGAGTGAGGAGCAGGAGCTCAATTTTAGACCTATGGCCCACCACCATGTATAAAAAGAGATCAGTCTGTAAAAACAATCCCAATGAAAACAATGAGATTAAATGTTTGCCTTTTTAATTAGCAAAGATTTAACCTAGAATATACCTTTCTTTGCTAGCTGGGCACTGGAATACATT